TACTGGGCAATTTTTTGTTTCTTTAGTCTTGATTTCAAATTTTTGTTTACAGTTGGCCTTGATTGCAGTTATAAAAGTACTCGCTTAGTAGATAACCAGGTAAAAATCGTGGTTACATCATATTTGAGGTGAGTGACAATTTCTCGAAGATTTACATTTAAAGTAAAATGATTGATTACTTGCGCGTCATAATTGGCACTGAAATACACCTACTATGCCATTTGGACGAAATATAATCCATCGTTTCCTTCATTATTTCAGTAAAAATCCACTAGATCAGCCACTAGTTTTGGATGATTTGTAAGCGTATCGCACATTACATCAAATTTTGATTGGTGACAATTTATTTCATTGAGAAATTGACTTTTACTTATCTTTACTAATAACTCTCGTGCAGCTTTCAATCATGAACTCCGTTTCAATAAGCGAAGGCTATCATTTACAAATCCAGAGTGACAACACATATTTTTTTTTTCTCTTTGATTTCATTTGTTATTACTCTCATTCAAATTCGGATAGTTGAAATGTGTTGGTGACAATGTTTTTCATTGTTAATAAGATTAGCAACAGTTCTTTCAATTCAAATTAGTAGTTTGTATGAGTGAGAGAAGTTTATTATTTATTTCAATGATATATCTATATCCGTCCTATTAGAGACATTGAAAATCGAAAATTTCATCAAATTTCAATGGTTTTAATTGTAATAAAGAAAAAAATGTTGCATTTATTAGATGACATGAGCTCAAACTTAGGAATTGGTTCTAAGCGCTCTCATTTTAAGCATAAATAAACTAATTAAAAAGATACGCGAATGTATTGGTTCAAGTGAAATTGCCATTTATTTGTTATAAACCTAAAGACTTATGCGAGAAAATTGATTGTTTTTAAGCGTATTTATATAATTCAAATAGTTTCCATTGAAAAACCACAATTGCGAGTGCCGAATTAAAATAAGGACAGGTGCATTTTTTCCACCCAAATGAAATTTTTCAAATCTAATAACATATTTGAATTGTACATATGTATAGTTTGGACATTTTAATAAGATATACTTTGGTGGTGTACGAATTTCGGGTAACATTTTTCGGTGTTTTGATTTTTAAAATTTGACATCGACCGGAATTTGACTACCATGGATGATTAAAGTAAATACTAGATCAACTAATATATTTTCGCTATTGTGCAATTTGCACACATTTTTATTTGTCATTCAAAATAATTTTTGCAAGCGAAAAAAAAGACACTGTGTGGGTGCCACCACTCCACGGTGGTGACATTTATTGAGAAAAAGTATTTCGGTGTCGTACTTCAACGCGATATAGTACCAAGCCAAACTGATGAATAATTGCTGAAAATTTTCTCAATATTCCGCTTGTAGAATATGGGCTAATTTCTTCGTAATTTTCGTAGAAACTACATTTTTGTTCAACATTAAAAACATCGGTACGGATTTCGGTTTGATGATGACGGAAAAAATTTGGTAATGCTTCTGTCGATAAATGTGGATAAAATGATTTGATCCGTTGATATTTGATCATTGTATAATTGCTTTTAAATAATGCTATGCTAAGCTCTTCCGTTAAACTAGACGGAATGGCTAAATAAAGTTTATAATTTTGTTGATTGTTGTGCAATCGCAATTCATTAAAATCTAACAGTAGTTTTATCTTTTGCTGTAGTTCATCCATCGGCAAACCACCGTATTCATATAAAAAGAATTGCTTTTTTCGTGTATACTTTTGACCATTTTCGGGATTAATAAGAATTGTTTCGGTGCTCGGTTGAAATAGGTATGATGTTGGTATATTATACAAATGACTGGTAACTAGAAATACATTTGAACTTGTGCTGTGCTGTTGGAATGTGGTCATTTGATTTTGTTGAAAATATTCCGTCAATTGGATAACTCCACCCTGGTGAATAATTCCGAAAAAGATGGCCAAAATTGTGTTGCCCGCATACCAACATTTTAATAGACGATTTGCACTTGCTTTTGTACATAAGAAATGACGATACACGAATTCACCGAGACGATTTGTCTCGCTAAATGGATTTGTAATGCAAAAACCAGTGATTAGCTTTGGAGCGTGTAAAATTATAATAGGTAATGTAATAGGCAGCAGAAATCGTGGTTCTTGATGATTGACAAGCGATAGCAAAGCAACTGGAACAAAAATCGCTGCATTCATGAGGGAAACGATCGATTGAGCACGGGGCAAATGAAGATATTCGTTTCGTGAAAATCTGAAATGAGGCGAAAATCGAAAGAAAATAAACGATTGAATCAACTTTATCTGAACAAACGATTGAAAATTATGCAAACCTGTACAACAAATGTCCAAACGAACAGACGGCAATCACACCAAGAATATTATACAAAAGTGGAATGTTAACTAAAACATGTAAATATTTTGGATGAACACCGTGTGCAGCTGTATTCACCGGATCAATGTTGTATCGGATGAAATTCAACGGTGTCACCACAAAATTATTGATGTCAACTTCCATATATTGAATTTCTGACAAGGTTAAAAATCCATAATAAAGTGAATCAGCGACAATGAATAGAATTACAACGGGAATACCACATGCGAGCAAACTGAAAAACCTCAAATGAAAGTCAACAAATGAGATCGTTTTGGCGTCCATACCGCGATACATCCAAAAGAAGACGATCGGCAATCCAAAAAATAAAAATGTCGGCCGATTAAAACAACCAATCACACATATCGTTGATACAATATAGCATTTGTTGACACGATACGATGGTAGAATGTAACGTAATTTATGCACCTTCACCTTTTCCACTATCGTTTTGCATGCATTGTACTTCTCATCGAGAAATTTACGTTGAAAAATTACACTGTTCGTGTGCATCATGCAATCAGCGACCACGTACAAAAGTAGCGAACACAATGCCATTTCAATGTTATTTGAAAATGTTCGAGTGCTAAAGACAATGCTAACAACGGAACTGGCCAACGCCAACAATCGAACGTCATATCGTAGAGCGTATGTGGTGCAGATTTTATAGAGGCTCCAATCACTCACAAATGATATCAAACACATTATCAAACGCGGCACAACGAATATCGCATACGGTGTACAAATTTGCCATCCCGTTAAAAATTGTACATACATTGCCAAGAAGCCGTACACATTCAATGTTAGGCGATAAATGACTAGTGGCAATGCCATACTTCGAATTGGCATCGTATTATTGAATTCCCATGTTCGTGTATGCTCCAATTTGAACTCTTCGCCTGCAATCAAAGTGAGGAAAAACCATTTATATTTCACACATATTAAACTGTATTCTCTTTTTTTCATCCAAAGTTACCCGTCGGAATTTCCACCGATTGAAAAAATTCATCAGGATGAATGTAGCCGGATTGCGGTAAAAATACCAAACACACTCGTAACACAGCCAAAAATATATATGTATTAAAATATTTGCCCTCGCCTCGATTTATATTGACTGCAAGCGAATGAAGATACTTGGACAATTTCATTGTGTCGATGTGATTTTTCAACAATTGTAGTTCGATCTATTGCAGGGTTTATCTAGTCCAAGGGGGTTTTCCCACTTTTTCAACTCATTCTTTTGAATTTATGAGAATTTTGTTCTTATGAAAAGTAAAAAATCCAAAATACAATTTCACTGAATGTCATAGACACTCACAATATTGAAAACACAACAAAACCGATTTGACATTACATCGAAGTCAACAAACATAAATCATTGCTATGTGCACTTAAAGTAGAAATACTTATTCTGAAAAATGTACTGTTCTGTGTACTTTTTGGTATTTTCGTTAGATGGCACCAGCTTATTCATGCTTTATTACCGAAAAATTTAATATTTCGCTCCAAATCGAAATTCATGTTCAATAAATAAATGTTGCAACATTGGTTGTAAATTTATTATAAATTATTTATAAAAATGGCAATATTTTTCTATCGTTCATGTTCTTGCATAGAATGGAAACATTTATTTGGTTTACAATTCATGTTTTGCGGTTTGTTTACAAAATGTCAAAATGAAACAGTAGAAATTCAAGCGAAATGAAATGATCGGGAATAATATCCATATATGGTTTGACTTCATTGGAATTTCTCGATTAAACATTTTAATAATGTTTGTATAGTTTGGCAGGACATTAGAAAATCAATGGGACAAACAATTTTTTGTATAATTTATCTTAATGAGTGGCTGCCATTTTTGTTGCTGTCCGTATTTGATTTCGGTTCAGTTTTAAGTTGAACTGGCCCGAAAAAAAATTTGACATCTGCATCGTTACGCGTTTCCATCATTAACACACTCGATTTCTCCTACTCTCTCTCTTGTGTAAATGTCAACGATATTGCCGCAAATCGTACTCAACACACACTGTACTCGATATTCCCGTGTAGCTGCCACATGTTTATCACTGGAAATTAGAGCTCAAACTATTTTAAAAGGAAAGAATCGAAGAAATAATTCATTTTTTTGTGTGTGAAAGGTAAATTTTGTGCACTACCTAATTATCACCGGCGTTTCAAATAATTTTCGTTTTTAAATATATATTTTTTTATTCGCGAATACATATATGTGTGAGTGTAAAATATTTGCCGAAATCTTCGTTCGGTCAAAGAATTTCGTTGCGGTTTAGTGCAAATTCAATATACCAAAGTTCATAACCTATAATAATCTCTGAATGGTTTTTTTCTCTGTGTATTGAATGAAATTTTGTTGTGAATTATATTAAACGATAACCGATGACGTTAACGATTGCATTCTTGTGGCGAACTATTTCACAAGCATTCAAACGATATATATATTTTTTCAATTGAACATCGTGCAATATTTTACGAAATATCGTAATTGACCAAATTTTTTTAATATTTATTTGGCAGGAAATTGGTGTATACAAAATGGTTGTACTGAGTTGTAGATTTTACAAAGAAAAATACCCTGAGGTAAGTGACTTGAGTCACTTTTCATGAAAATAATGTGAAAGTATATGCTCATATTGTGAAATGAATGGAATGGTTTTGTTTTTTTATTGGATATTAGGTTGACGATGTTGTCATGGTCAATGTCCGTGCAATCGCCGAAATGGGCGCATACGTTTACCTTTTGGAATATAATAATATCGAAGGTATGATTTTGTTGTCGGAATTGTCACGACGGCGTATTCGTTCGATAAACAAATTAATTCGTGTGGGCAAAACCGAACCGGTAGTCGTTATTCGTGTTGACAAGGAAAAAGGTAAGGCCATCGCATCATTATCGATCATCGTTTTCTTTTTAAAGATAAAATGCATTTATTTATGTATTCATTTGAATAAATTTCAGGCTATATTGATCTGTCAAAACGTCGTGTATCACCTGAAGATGTAGACAAGTGTACAGAACGTTTTGCCAAGGCGAAAGCGGTCAATTCAATATTACGTCATGTGGCCGATATTTTAAAATTCGAAACAGACGAACAACTGGAAGAATTGTATCAAAAAACGGCCTGGCACTTTGAAGAAAAATATAAAAATAAAGCGGCCGCATACGACGTATTCAAGCAAGCGGTGGTTGATCCATCAATTTTGGACGAATGCGGTTTGGAAGATAAAACCAGAGAGGTGCTATTGAATAATATTCGACGAAAATTGACGTCGCAGGCAGTTAAAATTCGTGCTGACATCGAATGTGCCTGCTATGAATATGAAGGAATTGATGCGGTCAAAGAAGCATTACGCGCTGGATTAGAAACATCCACCGAAGAGCTACCAATTAAAATCAATCTCATTGCTCCTCCATTATATGGTGAGTGTCCTCAATTGAATTCTTTTATTGCTTTACTTTTTTGGCTGATATAAGAAGAAAAGATACATTTTAATTCTCTGGCAATACATTCAATTCAATAATGTCTCAATGTATATCTTATTATCATATAGTAATGACAACGTCAACGCCCGAAAAAGCCGATGGATTAAAAGCGCTGGAAAATGCCATTGAACGAATTCGAGAAACAATTACGAAACTTGGTGGTGTATTTACGGTGAACATGGCGGTAAGTACATATGATCAACAAAGAATATTTCTCTGAAATTTAATGTGAAAATGTCTTTTTTCTTCAACGATTCATTTGCAGCCGAAAGTTGTAACCGCAACGGATGAAGCTGATTTGGCACGCCGAATGGAACGTGCTGAAGCCGAAAATGCATTAGTTGACGGCGATGAAGATGAAGAAAATGAAGAGGGTATATCATACAACGATGGTGAAAATGGTGACGAAAAAGACGATGAAGATGGTGGCAGCAGTGAGGACGATGTGAAAAATTAAATTGAACAAAACGGCAACGATTTCTTCTTCTGATTGTTAAAGATATATCCGAAACAAACAAACAACACATTCAAAGAAAAAATCTTCCAAATTTATATAGGTAAATTCGAGTCGCGTTTTCACATTGCAGCCAGGTTCAATGTGTCAAAGAGAAAAAAATAATCGAAAAATCACACAAAAAGTCACACAAACTCAACGTATTCAAACTGTACACATACACAGAGAAACAACAAACAAATTAAGAGAATAATGAAATCCTTCTTTCCAATATTTGTAATCGAATAAATAAAATAAAACAAATCAAATTGCAGCATTATATTTCAGGAATATTGCTCATTTTAAAAATCGGCGACGAACAGCAGTCATGCCTATATGCCTAACTTAAACTAAATTACAGTCACTATTTTTTTATGTGAATTGTTGGCTTTTGATACATTTTCATCCGTTCGGCTTTTATTTTTTCTCGCTCTTCGCCAACCGGGTACTCCGGAAATGTCCTATTGGAACGACGTTCAATTGCAATATTCAACTGAAATGATCAGAATACATTTTATGTAAAAACCTTTTTTTTCTTCATAATCATAAAGTCTTACCCAAAATTCTTTGCATTTTTTTCCATTTTGGATAAAAGCCTCACACTTATCCTTATCGTAATTATTTGCATCAAGACATTTCAGCATCTGTTGTCTCTCCTATTCAATTTCCAAAAAAGTAATTAATCGAATAACAACTGTACGACTTTCTCGCTTCAAAAAGGGAAAAATTATTGCATTTTACTTACTTTCCAACAGGGATCCTGTTCACTTGCTGCTAATGGTGTTCGCATTTTGTTCTTGCTAAATTTTTTAAACTTTTTTTATTTAAAAATGATGCAATAAACGGGTCTGTGTGACTTGAATTGGCATTGCTTATAAAAACAAATAAATTTCGATTAAAAGTCAAGCACGATTGAAGAGGTTATGTCATTCAACTGACATTTATTATCGTCACTGACTAAAAGTGTCAAAACAGTGAACAAAATTTGGTGTGTGTGAATCCAGTGTAAAAAAATTCGGCAATAAATACAATTTTAATGCAATTTATTTTTTATAAAGCACATTATTTGTTCCCCACAATATGCACGTGAATAAATCGGGAATACAGCAAATTTTGTTGTGTCCACAACAGCATAACATCGTTTTAAAACGATTCGGTTGGTTTGATCGAAAGAAACGAAGCTTTTTCCAATTATCTGATAAAGAGGAGCCACGATTTTTCTCGGAAACTGAACCAAATCCATTGTCGGATGTTGAACGGCGCATCGAGAGCTCAATGGAAAAACTACAATGGCGGAAACCAGTAACCAGACAAAGAACCTTTTTGACAGAAGGTTTGCGTCTGCTTGCACCCGAACGTACAAGACATTTTTTAGAAATCATGCAACGGCCATTGGATAAAACCAATATTTTGAGATCAATTGAATTAAAAAGACACGAAATGATGGCAAAAGACCAACGTTTTCTAACGGATCGTCATCGTATGCTGGGCAATGACTTGGCAGCTGCACATTTTCTCGTGGCACGGGGTGGTCAAGTGAGGTGAGTCGGTTGTTCTTCCTCGAAATAGAATACGCTTCATGATGAAAAATGAAAGAATTATGGTGGTATTTATTCGGTTTCTATATTTTTATGAATAGATTCACTCGTTCCAAAGAATGGATTAAAAGTAATGAGCACGATGAATACGATCTACCACGGCTCTATGATCCCGAATATCTTATCGATGCAATTAAATGCGATGGTATGGATCTAATGTACGAAGGACTGGAAAATGTTCGTCGTTTGCATCATTTAAAATATTTTTCACTACGAGATGTGAAGCTTTTTGACGATTGGTGTATGGATCGATTGTGTGGAAATCAATTTGACAATATTGAAATTCTCGATGTATCTGGCACTAGTATAACAGCAAATGCACTATTTGCCGTACCAAAATTACGCACTCTAAAAGCAATCGTAATGGACACGGCAAATCGATCGACGTCGTTTCAGTTGGCGTGTGCCGAACTCGAATGTGTTATGCCAAAATTAAAGATTCTCGATTCGGCCGATGTACATGATGATATTTATGAAGCTAGAAAATTGGCAGCATCTACTGAAAATCCAGCAGAAGCGAAATAAAATGAAATTGTATTTATTGTTAGAAAAGTTTGCGAATAAATGTGTTTTATGTTAAATTCATTCACAAGAAGAGCAATGTATGTTTTCTTTATTTTATTTTTCGCTGACATAAATTCATTTTTTTTTCTCTACAAAACAAAAAGAACATATAATTTCTGATTTTTTCCTGGGCATGTTTTTCACAATTAACACAATTATAATAATTATATATTTCTTTTTATCTAATTAATAAAAAATAAAAAATACACTTCAATTTATAAAATAAATGAGATGGGATGTGTGTGTGTGTGTGTGTGTGTATGACAGATAGGAAATGAATGAATTGATGAAACGATTCGGGGCCAATTTTTTTGTTTATGTCAGAAAATCCGGCCGTCAAAGTGTTCAGCCAATGCGGGTACAATTATTGCTTTCGAATGGTACCAGCGTTAAACTATGTTTGAGCATTATGAAAAAGAATAAATGACAGATGATCAATACTTTAACAAATGACACATTTTGTTATTGTTGTTTTTATCTTCGAATAATATTTATGTGTTTGTTTTTTATATTTTCGCTATATGTTTTAAATGCTTGGCTTCAAATTTCATTTATTGATATGGACGTCTACGTGCCGCACGTTGTTTATCAAATCGAAGTTCCATTTCTTCAAGCACTTTTGGTGTATAGCGCACAACAAGCTTAACAGAGCCAACGGCCTGTTTCAATAGTTCAACGGCTTTCTCGTGATTCTCGCCATCAACCGACTGAAAATTGGATAAAAAACCAAAATCAAAAAAAAAATATTGAATATTTCACGCAAATTTGTGATTAAAAAAAAAAAGAAGAAAACTTACAACACCATTAACCGAAAGCAATTGATCGCCACGTTTTAAACTACCATGACGATCGGCTACACCACCTGGTATGATGCGTGATATATAAATGGGTGAATTTTGTTCTTTGCCACCCATCACATTGAAACCAAGACCTTCGTCCGTTTTTGGCAATTCAACAACGCGTGGATGTGCATGCCCTTCACTTGCTGCAAATGCAGCTACGGTTGCTTTGGCCGTGGCCGATGCTCGAACATCTTGTGAACCTTGAATGTCAACCGTTTCATAAACATGCTCGTACACTTCACGTACCGCACTCAGAAAATCACTTTGCAATACTTTCTGTAATTCAGCCAATTTATGTGCTGGAACTTCGCCGCTATTTTGTAATTTATCCAAAAGTTCAATGCATCGTTCAACATCTGTGCGAAAAGAATTTGGTAGAAAATTGGGTTAAACAAAATGTTGACAGTGAAAACACAATGACTTTATGCATATATACAATGGGATGGGTGTAGTCTCAAAATTATCACTTAAGCGACTGTGACCCATTCATAGTTTGCAACAAATATTTGGCAAACACTCTTTTCCAATGTGCTAAACAACACCCAGTTAGTTTCGTTTTGTTTTTGTGTTGTGACAGGAGAGAAAGTTTTTACAACACTTGATCAATCACATGCCATAAAAAGTTGATTTTATATCCAAATTGATTCTTGAATACCTTTGCCCAATGTCAATGGTTCTATAGCTGCCATTGCCTTGAATTTGTTTTCGTTTTTCGTTTTGGTCACTTAAAATATTGAGATGTGCGAGTCTCTCTTATTGACAGATTTTTTTTTTTTTTATAGTTGAAGTTTCTAACTCTTGCTTCAAGGTATTTATTTTGCTGAGCTATTCAATCAATTCGTTCCTTTTTACTCTTTTCAATAATTTCAACGATAAAGCAGAATATGTTGTGTATTCCATCTCTGTCGTTTTGTGATTGACTCATTGCGTCGACGCATAGACCGCAAAACACTATAGTGGTCTCTTTTACACTCACATATTGGAATGCATTCAATTTATATCACATATTCACATTGAATTGGGTTGTCGTTTTTTTCATTTATTTCATTTTAACGCTTTTGATGGCATAAAAATGATTGAGTTGATATTAAATGAATAGCAATTCAAAATTGATTCATTTATTATGGATGGATACCGTCACGCCAACAAAAAAATAAATAATGAATATGTTTTTGCTTGCAGGTGAATGAACAAAAAATTGCTCCGTACTTTAGGCGTAAGTATTTCTCTGTTGACAGTTATGTAGTCCGTGCGTATATTTTGAATGCACTTTACCCGACTGACAGTTGTCTCACATACAATACATACCGTAACCAAAAACTAGTTGGCCCGTATTTTTATTGAAATTATTTTAGCAAAAGTAATAGTTTCCATTAAAAGAAAACAATGACGCAAATGGAGTTTCAAGCGATTGTATTGGCTGGCGGTCGTGGAACACGTTTTCAGGAGCTAACTGGTGAACGGCTCAAATGTTTGTTGCCGATTGGTCCATATCCAATGATTTTCTATCCATTGGAGATGCTACAAAGGCACGGATTTCAAGAAATCATAGTTATTGTTCTGGAATCAGAACGATTTGATATTCAACAAGCAATTGAACGTACACCAATCAAGGCGAAATTGGATTTCGTAACACTGCCCGCCGATTCGAATTTCGGAACAGCCGAAGCGCTGAGACACATTTCAGATCGGTAAGAGATTCATTCTACTCTCTTTCAGTGTGTGATTTTACACTTTTATCAACGGTATTTTGTTTGATTTTTCAGTATTAAATGTGATTTCGTTATCGTATCATGCGACACCATCACAAACATCGATCTGTTCTCAATGCTAAACTGTTTCCGAAAGACGAATGCATCGATTGTGGCTCAATTGTTCAAAGGCGGTTTGGAAGCCGATACTATTGTGCCGGGGCCGAAAACAAAACATAAACACGGTAAAACCATTTCGTTAGATAAACGGTTGGCATTTGGTTTCATCAATTTGTAAAATGTTTTTAAACATTTTCAATAGATCGTGATTTGATTGGTATTCAACCGGGTACACAACGTTTGGCGTTCCTTGCGTCGACCAGTGACTATGATGAAACATTGAATTTGCCATACCATTTGCTGCATCGATATGGTCACATCACAATGCACAGTCGCTTAATCGATTCGCATATTTACATTATTAAGAAATGGGTCATTGACTACTTGAAAACGGTACGTTTTGAATATCCTTATGGAGTCGAGTTGGGCGCGCAAATGAAATTTCAATTTTCTATATTCCCACAGAATATGCAAGTATTTTCACTGAAAGGTGAACTGATTCCGTACATTGTGAAAAAACAATTGGCACGTGTGACAAAGCACGAAAATGAAAAACCATTTTCGATGGTCAATGTAAATACAAAGCAAGGTGACATCATTCAGTTTATCAAACAAAATGAATTTGATCAGAAAATTACGGAAACATCATCATTCAACGATTCGGTCAATCGAAATCCATTCAGCGACGATTTGATTCGATGCTATGCATTGAATCCACAAGAGAATTGTTTTGGCATTCGAGTGAATACAACACTGTCTTATTGTACAATTAATCAAAAGGTTCGTTTCCTTTTTTTAAATTTCAATCGAAATACTTGGATTACATTTGTTTCTTTTTTTTGAATTCGTTTTAGATATTTGAATTATGGGAGCAACTCTTTCCCAAGCAAGCTCCAGCATTGGTATCACCACAGGCCTCTATAGATTCCACACAAATGACTGAGTGTGCTGTTGCTGCGTCCACGAAAATTTCCGAAAAAACATCGTTGAAAAAATGCATTTTAGGCACAAGTAGTACAGTCAATCCGAAAACCCGTATTTCAAATAGTGTTTTAATGAATGACGTCCTGATTGAGGAAGGGTTAGTTTTGAATACATTCGACTTTTTTGGATTCGTTTATTCCCTCTAATTTAATGTATTTTATTGTTCAATTAAATATTTAGCTGCATCATTGAAAACAGTGTAATCTGTGATAAAGCAGTAATTCGAAGGGGTTGCGTGTTGAAAAATTGCCTGGTTGGACCGGATCACAAAGTAGCTGAAAATACGAATGCAGAAAAAGTGCATCTGTCTAATTCGGACTTCCAAATCGAATAAATGTTGAATTCTGTTTTTTTCTTCTATCTTTATAAAGCAAACACTTTGTCAGATGTGTTAATTTTGTAAAAATCACTTATTTTCATATAGTAAAATATTTGATTAAGAATTGTTTTACTAATACAGTCTGTGTTTTTCATCGCGAAATGTCATTTTTCGTATGAATAAATATGAATTGGATTCTTATAAAAAAAATTGGAGAATTTCATCATCGAACTATGTTATTTCCACAAATTTAACTTATTATTTCGTGAAATTTTTCTAAGAATTGTGAAACGAATTAATAGCGCCATCTGTTGCTTACTTTTAAAAGTTCTTTTATTGAGTATTTCAATCAAACGTTTAAGTATATTGGTAGTGCAACTTAAAAATGTCGTTTTTTTGGTAAAAATAAAACTTTATTTCATAAATTCTGTAAATAACATGTCATTCAAAGTATTGGCCATCGGAAGCTATAACCTTTTCCCATCTTTCTGGTAGCATATGGATTCCGCGCCAAAAGAACTGCTCATTTTTTGAGGTTTATTTTTTGATACCTTCAATTGAAGTGAAGCGTATTCCAGACATGGCATTCTGCATCGATCGAAACAAGTGATAGTCAGAAGGGGCAATGTCTGGCAAAGCTTCCCATCCACTATTTTCCAACTAGTTTTTAACCGGTTGAGCAATATGATGCCGAGCGTTGTAATGATGGAAAATTATTGACTCATGTCCGGTCGCATATTCTGGCCGTTTTTCGTTCAATGCTCTCTTTAAACGGATCAATTGTGTTCGATACAGGTCTCCCGTGATCGTTTCACCCGGTTTTAACAGCTCATAATAGAGGACACCCTTCTGATCCCACCAAATACAGAGCATTACCTTAGCACAATGGATATCTTGCTTGGGCGTTTCGTAATGAATCCATTTTTCATCACCAGTAACAATTCGATGCAAAAACGACTTTCTTTTGTGGCGCTCAAGCAGCATTTCGGAAATGCAAAATCGTCTTTCAACGTCTATTGGTTTCAATTCATGTGGTACCCAATTTCCTTGCTTTTGAATGAATCCTAATGCTTTTAAACGTTTTGAAATGGCTTGGTGAGTCACTCCTAATGATTTCGCAAGTTCTTCTTGAGTTTGACACGAATCTTGATCGAGTAATACCTCCAATTCTTCATCTTCAATCTTTTTTGGCTGCCCAGGACGTTCTTTGTTTTTTGTGTCGAAATCACCACTTTTGAAGCGCGCAAACCAACGCTGACACATTCTAACGTCTACATCATAGTCAGGATAGGCTTCAGTGAGTAAACGATATGCTTCAGTTGCATTTTTCTTTAAATCGAAGAAGCAAATTAAAACTTCCCGCGAATGATCTTTTGTTGGAACGAACCGTTGATTGAAAACTTAAAAAAATCGAATTTTATCTCTGTTTACTTAAAATAAAGTAGATTCCTTGAAGTAAATTTTATATTCTCATAAGATAATTCCTTCTAATTTAAAAGATTTCATGAAATTTTTTTTAAATGCTGTGATTTTTTTTTTATAAATAAAAAATATAGTAGTTGAATCAAAATGCATCACTTACTATTATTACTCCAGCAGAAGGTCTGCCATATTCATTGTGACATATTACGGATTGATTTCCTGTCTGCTATTTTGCTCATGGATGAAAATACGCAGATTGATTTATTCAAAATATAAGCTCAAATTGATTTGATCCAAATGTTACGTAAAAATCTCTATGAAAACGATTTTATTCGAAATAAAGAGCTAAAATTGAATTTCAATCGAGCATCCAATTGAAGTCTAATAAACAATTAAAAAAACATACAAGGAAATAAAAGACAAATTTTTCAATTTTTTCATCTTATACATACAATATATTTTATTTCTTGTTAAACAAATTAATAATTTTCTTTCATTTCTGATTTTGAATTTTCTCTCAGTTTTTTTCACCATAATCTTAATCTTCGCTTGGATTGGTTTGTCTCACTAAGTGATTTTTTTGGTTTATTTACTTAATCATCTCATTTCATTTTTAATTTTCAGCTATCTGTCTCTAAAGTAATTAAATCTAATATTTTCCCTTCGTCTCTCACTTTTTTTTATATAATTATTATAAAATAACATTAATTTCATATATATACTTCTTGTTTTGTTTTGCTACTAATTTCCATTTCTCTGTCCTCTCACATTCTTTCAGTTATTATTTTTTTTAAGTATGTACACATGCCTTTTGCTTAATTTTTAAATTTCATGTGCAAAAATGGTAGTTTGGGTCGTTCAATAAAACAATATCATATATTTTTTTATACATGTGTTGTAAATAGAAAAACTAAATTTGAATTAAACATTATTTTATTATTTTTTCGTGTTATCATTATCATCAACTTTTTTTTTCTTTTTTGTCCTTTAATTTAATATCTATATATGTTCAGATCATTGCAAGTGCTATCGGTTGGCAAGTGTGAACTATTTTTTTTTTCGCTTACATTGAAAAACAAAAATATGTTTCGTACAACGGCATACACTTTCTACAGAGCGATTTCGTGGTCAGAGCCGAAAATGTTGCGCCTGATAGTGCACGTCCTTAGTAGATAATGCAAAAACCTTGCATATACAATTCAATGTGCGCACACACACGCAGGGTTTGGCGTTTTTAACGGTCGTCGATAAATCGAATGGAAATATCAAACTTCAGTGTAATTGTGCGTGTTCATTGAAAATTCAGGTGTTGTGTTTTATATACTATGGACGCGAATTACTGCTGTTAAATTTCCCGATTTGTTTATGGCTCTGATATTCGTATGATTCGTACAAAGTATACCGTTCGATGGTGGCTTCTGTATTGATGGAAATATGTGCGCAGTTGTAACGGTTACCATGTCAGAAATATGCACATTATTTTGCGTCAAACTTGAAACTGAAGCACTTGCAATGTGCTGTATGTATATATTTATTTACTGTTGTTTAACTTATGTAGTATAGATTCAGTATGCGCTATAATTTTTTTTTGTTGATCTGCATGTGTTCATCTATGTGTGTGTTTTTTTTTCTTCATTTAAATGTGTGTGTTTGTGTAATTGTTTGCACTCGAAATAATTGAAAAAGGAAATTAATTCAGGGTGGTGAAAGAACGGAAATGATTGATTTGGTGTAAGTATTGTATGAATGAAGAGAAAAATACGAACATTTTTGTGTGTTTGTTGTTGTATTATTTTGGTCAAAGGCGTTTTTTTTCTTCTCACATTCTCACTCCGAAATGGATTTCCAACCATCGATTGTGCATCGATCCATGTATTCGGTGAGGGAAGGGGGGTCAAATGTCGGGAATGGGTTGATGTAAGACATAAAAAATTGTTCAAAAATCGCCATTTGTTTTTTTTTTTTTGCATTAGAAGAATTAATGACACTATTTACATGAGCGCCATTCAACTGGTTGATGAAATGCTCCGTAGTCAATTTGAGAGTTCAACTCAAGTCGATCGCACGAAATGAAATATACGCATAATCGTACACTGTGTATTTGGGCGAAGCGAGGTGCTTTCGAAAGAAAAAGAACCTTTTTAATCGTCAATCATGTGCAATTGTAACTGTTGTTTGATGCGATTGAAAATTTGTTCTTTCATTCATTCATCCGTTGGTTTTAATTCTCTCGAATGTTTTGTGTTTATTTTATTTGTTGTGAAGGCCATAGTAGGATTTAAAGTCTTTCCTTCGCATAAAAATTGTGATTTGAATGTGCAGGTACACATATAATAGCCAACAAATTACGAAAGTAATAAATTTGTCGCAATTTTTCGTACATCATTCGTTGCTGATATCCATTAAAATGCGATTATTGCGTTTAGGAATGTATATGTGTATATTCAATCTTTTTTTTACTAATTCGGCTTCAGATTTTCCAGAACTTATGTAACTATTGTTTATTTACGGGGAAATACGTTTTTTTTAAGGTTTCACAAATCATTTCGCGTACACATGAATGATTTTTCTTTCTAATTGGATTCAGTTTGTTCTAGTAAAAAAAAATTATATTTTTGTTTTTTATTTGAACATTGTCGATAATCGATCACGTCTCTAGTTTTGTCTATTTTGTTGTAATGGTTTTTTCATTTAACGGCATTCTTAGAATTAATGCTGAAAAAAAACATATTCTTTTTTTGGGGTTTTTTTAACAGCAGGTTCAAATATTGCACCAAGATTGTAATAGCGAATCGTTTCGACTCAACTTATATTTCTGCAGATAAATTTTTCCAGAGGGGTAAACCAAATTTTTATCCGACGTTTCTCGTTTTTCTGGGTTGCTTTACCCCGTGGGGTAGGTTTATCCGCAGGAACATAAATTGACGTTTATAGCAAAGCGTTAACAAAACTCAATCGATCTCGATTTGATTCGCCATCGATTTTATCGATCACTTTTTTATGGAACAGTATCTCTTCATAATTTGCTTGTTTTTGAACGAACGCGATAAATATACCTATTCATAGATCTACATAATTTTTAATATCTATGTTTTTGTGACGTTTAAGAATGTTTTTTGAATTTTGTTTTGCTAATAGATAATGATTTTTGGTTTTAATTTCTTTTTGTCCAACATTTGGTTCAAATTGGTTTATTTATATAAATATATGTGTGTGTGTGAGTGAGTGTAGTATCTTTGTTTTGTATATAGTAGGAAAACGCGTTATCATCATTTTTGTCTAAAGAATGGTTGGAATGATGATTTGTTTGATTTTAATGCCATCACATTGAAATATGCACCCCCAAACGGGGGGTGTGACGACAATGAGACTCTGTGAGAATTAAACGATCGTGCATTTTTCAACAATTTTGTTTGGTTGTTTTATTTTTCATATCATTCATTTCTGTTTGTTTTGTACATGATTTTTGAACAGGATACGAACATAATAAAGCGTATTGAAGTAGGATGGGAGTTCTTTTGTGGTTTGTTTTCGGGGATGTTTATGATTGGAAATTGACATATGGCATTTAAACGATCTCTATTAGAATGAAGTAATAAACATTAGAACGAATGCAACAGATTTTTGTTTGTTTTGTTTAAATTCGTGGCTGGCTGGTAACAAACATTTCTCCGAACCAGTACCAACTGGTTTAAACCTATTTTTTTTATAAAATATATGAATATGTCAACAATGAAACAAAATCTCGATTTCTTTTGATTCTTTATTTTTTTTTTTTGGTTGTAGTATGTAGTTGTTGTTGTTGTTTAATTTTGTTGTCCATGGTTTTCTTCACTCCTTTTTTTCTCGTTCATACTTTCCGTTTTCGATAATTTAGAATAATAGATAGCCCCACCGGAAGATCGAACATTCTTTCGGTGGTGGATGCATGTTTTTTTATATATATGTATATCTATATATGTGTGTGTTTTTGTGTGTGAGAGTGTGACTGGTATTCTTCAACTCCACAAATTTTGTTTTAAATACCATTCGACCCATATAGTGGTATTTTCAATTATTTCGTTAATTTCTAAATTGTGATTACACATCATGCATATGGTTTCGAATCATTAGATTTATGCGCGTATTCAGGACATTATATTCATGTCGTTGTTTTTTCATACAACGTTAATTACCTACATAGTTTTTGTATCTTTTTTTTTTCATTTTTAAAAATTTAAATCCACGCAATTTTTTTTTTTAATTTTTAATTTCGTTTACATCTCTGTGTGTGTAACAATTAAATTTCTCTTCTTTTTAATCTCAATTGACACATGTATTTTTTTATATGTATTTTTATATATAATATTGTATTTCTGATGAGGAAAACTCAAATGAGAGAGATGATGAGGAATGAGAATTTGACGAATGGTTGTTCTTTATGTGACGTAATAAATTGAAAACGTTTAAATTATGATCAGTCGAGAGACAAAAACCAAAACGATGTTTGAGATGTGAAAATGTGCGCAACGATCGCAAGTGCCAACGAACGACGATGGCAGCGGTGGCGACAACAACGACGATGTCCAAAAAAAACATTGGCTTATTTATCCGAAAACGAACATTACACTTAAAACTTGTGAGACGTTAATGAATTGATAATGTGTAGATAGATGCCGTGCATAATATGCATATGTGAATCTATAAATGTGATGAGCACACTATAATATCGATCATTCGAATATTGCGCACACACAACACGGATTGTGTGGTAAAATGTTTTAATTTGGTGCAAGATAAACTGTTATTATTATTACCTTTTGAAATATTTATATAATCGAGTTTAAAAAAAAAATTCGCTTGGAACCTTTGGACATTTTATTTGACCGGGTGCATCATATATGTGTTGGTAAAAAAAACTAAAACATTGCACGCCCGACATGAACGCAAATGAGTGCACTTCGTGTTATAAACGATGTATTTTCGATTGGTTTCAAATTTTACGCGGCAATGTCTTCTGCTATACATTCGAGCGCCACATACGCATTACATCCATACAGTTTGTGCCATGGAAAACAACGAGAGAAAATTATGACTTTTTTGAATGGTTTATTTTTTTGTTTAAATGTAAAAATGAGAGCGAAATTTTGTTTAAACGGTTTGCTGATAGATTTGCTAATTTCGATTTGGCAGTTCAATACATAAAATATACCATTTTATCACCATTTTTTATTTATTTGAATCATAAGCGTTCGATTGAAGATACAATGAAAGGTGTCACGTGATCTTAAAAAAGAAAAAACAAAGAGGAACATTCATTCGAATTTTAGTGATTGTTGTGTATAGAAATTATATCGATATATATTATGTGTGCAGTTCGTGCATGTTCATCGAGGAAAAATGCCATTGTACAAAAACAAAACAAATCACACTGAACAGTCATCGAGAATGTACCACATTTGGATAAAAAATATTGCTTACATTATCATGTTTATATTCTCTATTTAGATTTCAGACACTTGAAATACTGCCCAATCTCATCTACATTTTTCATTCATTTTGTGTCTACATTAAATGAAAATTGGCATTGTTTTCAGTCAACAAACCATTCATCACGCAGTGATAGAAATAGAAACGCATATTTGTTTTTTTTATGTATTGAATGTGGAGAGAAACAAAGTTTGTGCAAAATCGCTATAACATCAAAACAATTCAATAAAGAAACGAAATCACAAAACACACAAAGCAATGGCAGCCGATCTTAATTATTTATTTTCATCAAATCAACTTGAGCATATTTGTTTTAAATACTTGACTGAAGATGTAAATTACATCACTAAATAAAGAGGTTCGGTGTCATTAAGTTTTTTTTGTTGTTGTTTTGAAATTAAAGAAATACAAAATGCTGCCGTTCATAATACTATTCACAAATATAACGATTGATGTCGCGGTTCGATTGATGAAAGTAACGAATTTAATGAAATTAAACATTGATGCAAATTGAACGGATAACGGAACACTTTGATTGTCTATATAAATGAAGAAAATATAAACACATTAAAGTTCACACGAAAATCAAGTAGTTTATCGTTTGTTAGATGAAATGTTACTAAGTTTACGGAGACTGCTTTCATTTTGCTTCATTTTCTTTTCTTATCGCAAGGACTTGAAACCAACTTTAATAATTATATAATAATAAATGGACGAATCAAGCGTTACTCGCACACAATTTACTGTCAGATTCCGGATCGGTTGATAAATATTTTAAATTCGCTGATAAAGCATTTGATAAGAATAATAGAGGAAATAAATTTAATTTTTCTTTATTTATTTTTAAATCTAATATTTTTAATTTTTTTTTTTTTTTTCAAATTTTAAATGAAAAAAATATAATAAAATTAAAAAAGATAGAGAAAAAGGTCAAATTTCTTTTGATGTAAAATAAAACCGAATATTAAATGTACCAATCCGATCCGATCTGAAGTTTTAAAATGTTTTTTTTTTCACATGATTGAAGAAATGCATCAAGATTTTCTTGAGCTTTCTTTCGTACTATTTACAAAGCTCAAAAATGTTTTATTGCTGCTGCCGATTTTGACATGTTGCTATTGTATATTGTATGCCGTTGCCCATTCAGTTCAGTTAATTTTTTTTTCAATTTCACGTTCATTTAAAGCTGTCTCAGTTAACGGAATGAAAACTCGGTATGTTTGTGTGTCGATCGTTTGATGTATGTGAAAAATTACAAAATTAAGAAAATATCATCCGTTTGCATATTATTATTTTCTTTTGTTTCGTTTTTGTTTTTCGTGTTACTCTTGAACTGAATGCATGAAGTGTTTTTGTTTTTTTGTCTTTCAATAAATTATTTTATTAAGTCGTATTCAATATCCTTTGATTTCATTGTGTTGATCCATTCAAATAATCCGCACGTGGTTGATAACATCAACAATTATCTGACATGACATGGTTTCAATGTAAATAATGACGATGATAGCAGCAGTCATCTTGTTATTGTTATTTAAACTTAGAGTATGTGTGTGTGACATTCTTCATTTCTTTTTTTTGATGTGGTAATTGAGCATTTAAGGCAATATTGCATAGAAATTTGTTGTTGTTTTCTTTAAATGTAATTCTTAACGTTCGCTAATAATTTTTCTTGTTTATTAGTTGGTTTGTTTATTTAGATTTGTTTTGCGTGAAGTGCAAATCATTCTTGTGTGTGTATGTGTTTTTTTTATGTCATCTTAATTAGTGTTTTGGGGTATATATTGATTTTTTTGTTTTCGAATCTATAACATTGCAATGAATTCCGTAAATGTTTTATGTGGATGTGTGCTTTGTGGCATGTGCGTGGATTTAAGAATGGTTTCTAAGTTTTCAGATTTCATATCTATAATAATTAATATTTTTTTTGTTCTTTTTAATGACTTTTGAGTAATTTTGTGTTTAGATTAAAATTGTTTTTCTCTCATCTAATTCGGCGAATTGACTTTTTGAAGTAAAAAACAAATCGAAAACAATGTCAAATGGAAAAATGTGCCCGGAGATTTAATTTAATATAATAACGTTCTCCTTTGTGATGAAGCTATTCGAAATTCAATTCCGATATTTGAAATAAATTTATTTAAAAAAAATTGAGTATTTCAAATACGATAGATGAATAAATAAATTGCTTAATTGAGCGATGTGAAAGCGCAATTGATTTAAACATATGTGATTGAATTGTGAGTGTCGATGCTCGTTGCATTGAGTGATATCGAGGATATGTTCTATTGCGCAAAATTATAGCAAAACCAAAAACTAATTGGAAGTGGTGGACAGCAATTTTAGTTTTTGTTTTCCCTTCTCTATTTTTTTTTTCAGTATAGTTTACATTTGAATTGGGGTGTGTGTATATTTCGCTTCGTGCTGTTCATTATTTTTTTTTCTCTATGTTTTGCGTTCCATATTCAGATCAAACAGAGATGGGTTTAATTATGAAATAAATTGGGTAAATGGTATTGGTGGGTGAGAAAATAGAGAGTGAGCGCATTCAAAACCGATGAAAAACATAAATAACGAAATTGTAATGTCCGTGTGTTGTGTTTTGTGTGTTGTTTTTGTTTTATTTATAAATATATAGATTTGGTGTGACTGCCGAATCGTAGTCGTAAAATGTCGATCGCGATTTTAATTTTTTTTTTTGGCTGGTTGAATTATTATATATTTTATTTGTTTTTTTATTCTCATCCTAAAGCGTTACATTTCGATGGAAAATGAAATATATATAATTTATATGTATATATCATTCGATTTCTGTGGTTTTTGAGGTTTCAGAACTTAACTCGCATCATCATGTGTTTCGTCATATATATATTTTGGTTTGGTTTGTTTGTTCATATCTCGGTTAACGAAGAACTGAATTTGATCACACACACATTTGCAGCCTTTCAATTTGTGAGCGGTTTTCGCTATTCCACTGCATTTCTAGACAACTTCAGTAATAATTATTATAATTATTGTGTATTAACATATGTGTTATGTCTGGCTGTCGTTTTTTATTATTTTTTTCTCGTGTGTATAAATTGTTTTTTTTTGTGGTTTATTCATAATTTCGCAAAACTATTTTTTTTTTGCTAATTTTATTTTATGTCATTTTCTCATTTAATATCAATTCAGCCGGAGAGTATTTTTTCACTCTCTTTCCATATCGTCTGCGTTTAATTTAAGACATATATAATAATTACCTTCAACATCATTTTTCTCCGATCTGCCTATCTCTCTCTCTCTCTCTCTCTCTCAGTTGCTGCTTTGCAATGTATAAGTGTATATAGTAATATATTATAAGTAAATTTATTTCTAAAATATTTAGAATTCAATTGTAGGCAGCTCGTTCCTTTTATATAACAAAAGAACGTGGATGCCTAGTGTTTTTGCTTTACCTTTAAATGTGTGTGTAAATGTGTCTGTATGTGAGAGAGAGTTTGCATCCGTGGAAACAATTTGTTTTTGTTTTTTTTTCTTTAATAATTTGTGTGTCTGTTGCACATTTTATATACTTATTTTACTCGCGTCCATAGCGGATGTGATCGCGATTTATATTCATTTATCGTCAATGATACACGATACTCTCACATGCAAACTAAATTTTTCTCATTCATCGGCGCATTCTTCTTTAATCTCACATTTTTTTAAATTTATTTACTTAATTTACTACTTAGCATCAAGCTACTCATTTTAATTTTAATTTTTTTTTTGTAACATTCTTGTTTTTTTTTTTGTTATGCCGAATTGTCCACCCTACATCGTCAGTGGCTTACATAATTTCGATAATTATGCAAAAATGTCATTAGATGTGGCTGTTTTTTTTTCATTAATTTTAAATATATTTTGAGTGTTTAGTGTTTGAGTGAGTGTGTGGTTTTCTTTTAATAATAATTCATTTATAGTGTTATTAATTTTCATTTATGTGGTGGAATGATTAGGAATTGTTTTTTTTAATTCGTGTTTTTGGAACAAGACTTCTTACTGAACAATCACAAAAAAATTGACAGAAAACAAAAATAAACACCCGAAATGGAACGGAAATATTATATAATATTCAACCGAGAACGGAAAAGAGTTTTTCATATCTAATATTTGCAATAGTTTTTTTTATTTATTTTCTCATTTTACCAACGTGGTATGTCTTGTTTTGTATTTCTAATATAAAAATATCAAAAATTCGATAATCCGAAGTCGCCTGTTCAGTGAATTACTTTCATCATCATTTTTTTACTCTCTTTTTTTAGATCTTTATACGTCTATAACTTTACATTTTTTTTATATATATTCATTTTATTCCATTCTTGAAATAAGTTTTATTTCTATATATGCGTGTGTGTATGTGTGAGTGTAGTTTTTCTGCATTTTTTTTTGGGTGAAATTTAGAAATAATTTGTCAAGTAAGTAAATTAAGAGCAAAAAAATGTGTGCATTTTAATTGTTGAAAGTGTTATTTTTTTATGTGTGCTTGAAATTGTTCATACATCGACAAATTATTCAGATCAATTTTGCACATTCCTTTTGTAACTCGATTCGATGCATTTTTGCTTACAGAAAAATGTAAAGAAAAAAAAACATAAAATGAAAAAAAGCTGGATAGAAAATTATTTGGAATGCATTTTTTATGCCCTACACTCAATCAGTCTGACTGCACTGCGAGAGAATTCTTAGCATTGCTCATTTTTTTATTTCTTAGTTTCGTGTGGGCAAAACAACAAAGTTGTTTCAGCATCGGTTTGCGATTGAGAGTGATATTTACGTCTCAATAAATGCATTTTACCTTCCATATGAAGATAGCTCGAAAGGAATCTCACCAATATCGGCATATCATAACACGGAATGTGCGACACAAAATTCTAGACTTTTTTTTCACTTCAATCGCACTCGGCGGAGACAGACTCTTATTTTAGAGCATGTTGATCTGGTCAGTCTAAATGTGGTGCAAACACAAAAAAAATTTCTTCTTTTTTCTTCTTTCTCCATTTGTAGCATTTTTTTTCGAGTGTTTGTATGTGTATTTATGTGCGCATTCAAAAACATTTCAAATAAATCATAATATATAGAGTTTATATCAAGTTGGAAAAGAGTAATTATGCGAAATCTCCTGTTGTCATCGGCTTTAATCCGATTCACGTAATTCAACTTAATTTTGGTGTTTTCATTGAAAATGTGTATTGCTTTGAGTGGTGAAAATAAATTCTATTTAACTAATGACACAATTTTTTTGTTGTTGTCATATTTTGGTATTTAGCACCCAAAAAGTGTTGTTGCTGAGATGCTCATGCTCGAAAATATAGATTGTTGTTTAGTTAATCGATAAAATTGCCTCTGTCGTTTGGATTAATTTTTCGAATGAGTTGAATTATTTGGTGTGTGCATGTATATGAATGACAGCTGATTCATTTCTTTGATTTTGAAATCTACGCATAATTGGTTTGGATTCATTTTATGTTACAATTAAGTTTAGTTAATTAATCGGAAATACGGTGCATGTAACAAATCGTCTACAAATGTGTGCAAAACTTCTCAAGTGTGATGGTTGGAACGAGTGAGTGCTGTAAAATGTTTGTGAAGGATTTGTGAATGTTGTAAAAATTGGTTGTTGTTTCACATGATTATTGAAATCTTCGAGTGTTGTGAGCATGGAGTATATATATTTGAATGAATTCATACAAAGTTTTGAATTTGCATACACAACAAAATGTTTAAAATGAAATACACAACCGAGATTATAATTCACGAAAAAGTGTTTTGTGGTGGTGTTGAATATCAATTTAATATCACGAAAAAAAAATGAAACCTCTAAATCATATAAATCGAATTGAATTGGACGTTATCAATAAATTTGCACTAAAATAAATTTAAAGACGAAGAAATCAATGTGACACTATATTCGTGTGTATTTTTTTCGATCTTTCTCACGTTTTATTGTTTCCTTTTTGTTGTTGTTGTTATTGTTCGATTTGTTTTGTTTTGTTTTTTTTTTTCGTTTTGAAAATTTGGCAAACACAATGGAAGCTGAATTTTTTTAACGGTTCTTCATTTTGTTTTATAATCATCACGTTATTCACTTATCTCATGATTTATATAGTTCAGTATAGTCCGTTTGTAAAACGAATTCTCTTTACAAAGCAACAAATAGCAATTGCTCATAAAATACATGTGGTTTTTGTTGCGATTCCATTTGGTTATACAACAGAAATAAAAATGTAGGCTTGAAGCACAATAGTAACAAACACTTAATTGATAACAAAAAAAAAATAAACTTGTATTACAATATTTATTGCACACACACCCACTCATAGCAAAACTATGTTCGATTCTCGATCACATTCGAAAAATTTGATGTGGGTTGAAGAATGAATAGAGATGCTGTGAGCTGAGAAATTATCGATTTAGAAAATATTGTGCATTTTGTAAACGAAGGACGATTAAAACCGGGCGATTTAATTTAAACCGGGCGAACAATGAAATGGTGTAGCCACGCAAAAATGTCAATGGATCGAAAATGGCAAATTAAAATTAAATTAGTTCAACGAAACGAAATAGTAACAATTAATGCTTCAAATTCAACACCTGGAGAAAGAATGAAAACGAAATATTTTTTTTTGTTGTTTGGTGTGCTCACGAATATTTGTACGAATGCTGTTGTTGTTCTTTTTAATATTTTTGCTCTTTGCTGTTTAATAATAAATGTATCTAATATTTTGTTGTTGTTGTTTTGTTTGCTGTATTTACTATTGCATGCATCGAAACACGTGGAGAAATGGTGTTTTTTTTAATTTAACTGATAGAGATTTTTTGTTTTATTTTTCATCTAGAAAGTTTTTCTCTTATTTAATAAATACGAATGAATGCTGTCGCTTTTTCTTCTGCTGCTTCTTTTGAATGTGTTTAAGTGAATATGTTTAGATTATTTTTTTATCGGCTGATTATTCTCATTCACTGAGCAGGTTTTCCTTTCGTATTTTTTTTTTTTTTGTATTTTGGTTTACTCTATTTGATGCTCCGTTCTTGTTGTTGGTACTGCTATACAAATACGTTGAATTATTGCTGTATGTGTGTGTGTGTGGCTGGTCTGTCGACATTGTCAATCAATTTGTTGAATTCGAGATATTCATTTTGCAATGGCCGCTGCTAAACTAGCTATCGATGATACTTGCAAAACGATGGGTAACAACGGTTTTCATTTTATTTTAGTTTCTTTTTCAAATATATGTATATATGTATTAAGCGTTTATTTTTTTATTTTTTTGGTTTTATTTCTTGAATATTTTTTTTTCGTTTTGTATGTTAGATGCTTCACATCACCGATTTTGTGTTTCTGACGAATTTTTTCTTCGCTTTTATCTCACTCTTGTCCATTTTGCGTTGTTCACTCCATGTCAAACATTCACGGGGGCCGCTTTACTTATCCTCCTTCAACAGAACCAAATCATCTGCTACTACGTCGCTCACATGTAGGTAGATAATCCAATACATTAAATTGAAGCATACGAAACAAACGGGAAACACTATTCGAGAATATTTATCGATATCGGATGGTGTGATACCCAATAATTTATTTATATCCTGTTTTTCGAAAAATGTAGAAAGAGAAAGAAAAAATAACACAGGGAAAAAGAGAGTGAAAAAGAGAAAAAAAAAGAGCAGATAGATTCGAATTAAAATTAAATGAATACAACAAAAGGACGCGCGAATAAATGCGTTGGGATGAAGTGAGCGAGTAGTGATCAGCGTACGGTGTTAACTTGCTGTATATATTTTTTTCTACAGCGAATTTTTTTCTGTTCAAGGGATCAGCGCTTTATCTATGCTTTTCATTTAGAGACTATATAACGCTATCATTACTCCATGGGCATTACGCAAAAAAAAGATGCATATTTAAAACGAAACGCGAACGAAATAAAAAGCAATACAAAGAACCTTTGGTTGCTTTTCCGCTTATTACATGTTTCTTTCTCAGTGTGTATATGGTATATGTGTACTCTCAGTATTGTACCTCTAGTATCTCAATGCGGCCGAAAAAAGCGAACATCTAATAAATGATGAAATGAGTGTTGTTCGCATCTATTTTCATCATTTTCATACTAATCACGGCAAAGCACGCGGCCAGTAAGCTTTTTGGGGCGGCTTTTGTCAATATTGACAAGATAAGAAGAGATAGAGTACAAAAAGAGCAATGGCCAATTAGGAAAAGAAAATTATGTACAAATGATATTGGCAAAAGTGTGCGCGTGAATATATCGAACGATAATTAATATTTAACGATCTGAAATCACACTTTTCGCTGCTTTTTTATGTGTACCTATATTTTTGGGGCGTATTTTGTACAAATTCCATTTAAAATTGAGTACACACTCACAAAAAATGGGCTTGAATTTGTATTTTGCCATATTCATGAAGGCTCTACTCGATTCTAACAAAATTATAGACCAAATTATCTTTTATAAGCTCTGCAGTATTTCTGACAATACATCATTACACATTCTCAAATGCATATGTGTAAATGTGCACAATTCACACTACATTGTTGGTCCCATAAAATGTCAGGAACGTTTATTTAAAAATAAAAAAAACACACAAATTCTACGTGAATAATTTGCTCGTTCGTTCGTTATTTGCTCATTTTCCGTTGCGGTGGCTCATTTTTAGCGCAAAAAAATGGGTTCACACGTAATTGGCCACGATGAAGAATGACGGAAAAGGAGCCATATTTTCTAGGAAGAAAATTATACTAGCGTTTTATGAATTAAATTAGAGAAGTAGTCAGTTGATGTATGCACACACACACATTGTATACGAACCAGGTGTGTTATGGACTCAAAATTGTTGTCGGTCGGGAGAAATAGAGAGAGGAATTAGACGAATAACTAGAGAATGAGAGTGTGCGAGCAAGTGAGTGAACGCTAAGACATTTAGACGTCATACAATCTTTATTTATTGCTACATTGCACCACTGTTACCATTTTTATTTTTCTTCGGCAATCCAATAGAATACACGACAACTGAACAAAACTTCTTTAATAGAATGACGCGGATTTATGTGAGTTTTGTATAATGAAATGCTCTGTATACTTTTTTGATTCATATTATATCTGTATCTGCCAATGGAAAATGAATGAAACATGAATGAAAATATAATCTTTGACTGGTCATTTTCTGTGAAAGAGAGACTGCGGCCACAGAAAATCATGTTCGATGAAATTATAAAAGTTTACGTTAGTTTTTGTTTGCAATGATATATGTATTGAATTTGTATGTGTATGAGCGAAGGAGAGAGACGAAGCAGAGAGAGAGAGAGATCGAGTCTGTGTATGCTTGCATGTTTGTATTTGACACAAACGAATAGCATCTGTAATATGCCATCGAAAGTTTATGGTGTGACGTATGCATGGGGCATTTTCATTAAAAGGGACACTAAACCATATTTTCAGACTTGAAATGCCAACAAAAACACAAAAAAAAACTTTTTTTCTGGGTAAAACTTTATCGAAAGCAATTCATGCGCTTTAATAATCATACTAAATTAGCACAGAAAAAGAGAGAAAGAGAGCAATTTTGATTATAGTTCATGCTAAATAATTTAGTGGCATTTTCATTTGTTTACTTTGATTTAAATAACAGAAAGAAAGAGAGAGAGAGAGAGAGAGAGAGAGAGAGAGAGAGAGAGAGAGAGA